GCGTCCGACATGGTCGAGACGGAGAGCGTGGGCAGCGACCGGGTGGGCTTCAGTGGCCCGCTCAGCAAGCGGGGGAGCCGGAAGAGCGCCCGGTTCAACCTGCCGGCCTCGTCCGCCGCCGCCGGGGAAGACGACGAGGCGTACGTGGAAATCACCCTGGACGTGCGCGACGACACGGTGGCGGTGCACAGCGTGAAGCCGGCGGCCGGAGCAGGGGGAGGCGAGATGGAGGACCCGGAGGTGTCGCTGCTGGCGCGGACGCTGGAGCGGCGGTCGGCGTCGTTCGGATCGTCGGTGATCCGGACCGCGTCGTCGCGTATCCGGCAGGTGTCGCAGGAGCTTCGGCGGCTGGCCTCGGTGACGAAGCGCCCGACCGCCGGCGGGAAGGTCGACCGGTCAAGGTCGGCGGCGGCCCACGCGCTCAAGGGGCTCAAGTTCATCACCAAGACCGATGGCGCCGCCGGGTGGCTGGCCGTCGAGAAGCGCTTCGACGAGCTCGCCGCCGACGGCGCCCTCCCCCGCTCCCTCTTCGCCCAGTGCATAGGTAATTATTCTCTTCGTCTATGTACTACTACTGCTACTTCTTCCTCCTCTAATTTGGGAGCAAAACGAATGGCGTAGGCATGAAGGAGTCGAAGGAGTTCGCAGGAGAGCTGTTCGACGCGCTGGCGAGGAGAAGACACATCACCGGGGACAAGATCACCAAGGCGGAGCTGAGAGAATTCTGGGAGCAGATCTCGGACCAGAGCTTCGACTCCAGGCTTCAGACCTTCTTCGACATGTACGTAATCGACTGATGAATCCACGAGTGATAGAACTGCAAGTCACCGCGACATCTTCCCCCCTAACTCGCTGTCTCTGCTTTGCGCAGGGTGGACAAGAACTTGGACGGAAGAATAACGGAGGAAGAGGTCAAAGAGGTAAGCAATTAAGAGCGTGTACCTTCTCCATCTGAAACATGGAAGTATAATAACAACGTAATCGAACACACGGCGCAGATCATCACCCTGAGCGCCTCGGCCAACAAGCTGTCCAAGATCAAAGAACAGGCGGAGGAGTATGCCCGGCTCATCATGGAAGAACTGGATCCCAACGATCTTGGCTACATTGAGGTGATTGTTTGCTTCCTATTTGAGCTTGAAAACGAACGAATCCCATGATCGCCGTTAACCGAGTTGAGAAATCTTTGGGTGGTCATCAGATATACAACCTGGAGATGCTGCTGCTGCAAGCGCCGACGCAGTCGATGAACATAGGGACGACCAACAGCCGGAACCTGAGCCAGCTGCTGAGCCAGAAGCTGAGGCCGACGCAGGAGCCGAACCCGCTGCGGCGGTGGTACCAGCGGGCGAGGTACTTCCTGGAGGACAACTGGCAGCGCGTGTGGGTGATGGCGCTGTGGCTCTGCATCTGCGCCGGCCTCTTCGCCTGGAAGTTCGTGCAGTACCGCCACCGGGCGGTGTACCACGTCATGGGCTACTGCGTCTGCGTCGCCAAGGGCGGCGCCGAGACCCTCAAGTTCAACATGGCCCTCATCCTCCTCCCCGTCTGCCGCAACACCGTCACTTGGCTGCGCACCAAAACCAAGCTCGGCAAAGTCGTCCCCTTCGACGACAATCTGAATTTCCACAAGGCAGGTTACTCTTGATGAATCCATTCGCATTCTATCGCAATGGATTGCCGATGGCAATTGATCGATGGAGTTAAATGCAGGTGATCGCGGTCGGCATCGCGGTGGGCGTGGGGCTGCATGCCATCTCCCACTTGACGTGCGACTTCCCGCGGCTGCTGCACGCGACCGACGCGGAGTACGAGCCGATGAAGCCCTTCTTCGGGGACACCAGGCCCAACAACTACTGGTGGTTCGTGAAGGGCAAGGAGGGGTGGACGGGGGTGGTGATGGTGGTGCTGATGGCCATCGCCTTCACTCTGGCCACACCGTGGTTCCGCCGCGGCCGGGTCAGCTTGCCTAAGCCCTTCAACCGGCTCACCGGGTTCAACGCCTTCTGGTACTCCCACCACCTCTTCGTCATCGTCTACATCCTCTTCATCGTCCACGGCTACTTCCTCTACCTCTCCAAGAAATGGTACAAGAAAACGGTAGGTGCACATCCACGGCGACGCTACTCTTCTTCGTCTCGATTACTTGGGCTAAGTAGCATCATCTCCGTGTCATGTTGTGGTGGATCAGACGTGGATGTATCTGGCGATCCCGGTGATCCTGTACGCGAGCGAAAGGCTGGTGAGGGCATTGAGGTCGAGCGTGAGGCCGGTGAAGATACTGAAAGTGGCGGTGTATCCCGGCAACGTGTTGACGCTGCATGTGTCCAAGCCGCAGGGCTTCAAGTACAGAAGCGGGCAGTACATCTTCGTTAACTGCGCTGCCGTCTCCCCCTTCCAATGGTAATAATCGATGCTGATCTCGATGTCAATTAGACAGACCTCCTTCGCAGTCTCCAAATTGTAGTAACAAGGTATGCGACAGGCACCCGTTCTCCATCACCTCGGCTCCGCAAGACGACTACATCAGTGTGCACATAAGGACGCTGGGCGACTGGACCAGGCAGCTCAAAATGGTTTTCTCGGAGGTATGTGGTGCTCTGGTGATGTGGCTTCGAAGGTTTCAACAGGCGTCGGTAACGCAAGCTTGGTGTTGTTCAGGTGTGTCAGCCGCCCACCGGCGGGAGGAGTGGACTGCTGAGAGCTGACTACGGTGATAGCAGCAACAATGGGATGAATCCAAGGTGAGTCGTGCTCATCCCGACCCTCGTTGCCTCTCTCTCTCTCTCTCTCTATTCACGAGAATCTGCTGGACTTGCCATGTGCCTGGCTGCCCTATGCCTGCTGCTCTGCAGCGAAGGTACGGGACGATTGGGACCGTCAGCATTGACTGCCCATCATCCCTAGAGGGGCGGGTGGGAACTGAGAGGGTGGGCGGTCCAAAGTTCACATGTCAAACATGCAGTCGACAGATCCTGAACGCGACCAAAGGTTGCGTGGATCGGGATCTTTCGTCTTGTTGCGAGAAAAATGGGGACTCGGTGACCGAGGCAGGGATGGGAGATGTTGGGCATATGCAGAGGATTAATAAGAATTGGTTGTTTCGAAGAGATTAATCGCACTTGTATTACGCTACAGCTTTCCGAGGGTGCTGATCGACGGGCCATACGGCGCACCGGCACAAGACTACAAAAAGTACGAGGTGGTGCTGCTGGTGGGGCTGGGCATCGGGGCCACCCCCTTCATCAGCATCGTCAAGGACATCGTCAACAACATGAAGCAGTTGGAGTCGCTGGGGCTGGGGGACGTGGAGGAGCAGGACCTGGAGAACCGGGGGGGAGGCAGCAATAGCAACAGCGGACACCACAAGAGGGGCGGGTCGACGTCGACGTCGGTGTCGGTGTCGACGTCGTCGTTCAGGACGCGGCGGGCCTACTTCTACTGGGTGACGAGGGAGCAGGACTCGTTCGAGTGGTTCCGGGGGGTGATGAACGAGGTGGCGGAGACGGACAAGAAGGGGGTGATCGAGCTGCACAACTACTGCACCAGCGTGTACGAGGAGGGCGACGCCCGCTCCGCCCTCATCGCCATGCTGCAGTCGCTCAACCACGCCAAGCACGGGGTGGACGTGGTGTCGGGCACCCGCGTCAAGTCCCACTTCGCCCGCCCCAACTGGCGGAACGTCTACAAGCGTATCGCCCTCAACCATCGCGAAAAACGAATCGGTATGCTCCCCGGTCTTGTCTTCCCTTTAAAGAAATTGGTCACCATATGGTACTTGATACACATGCATGCTGCCGAATTATTGCCTCTCTAGTTTATTAATGTTCAAGTGAAGTGGACTGCAAGCATTAGATTAATGGTCATGCCGGTAGTAATCTAATCGGAAATCAGTAGCTTGCAACCAACAGCAGCTTCGTATTGACTTTTAGTGTCCTTTATCGTTATCGCTTATGACAATGGTGTGAAATTTCCTATGCTCATTGACAAATACTATACTGTAGCGCTGTTTGGACTTGGGGCTAACCTCGCCAAAACTTTTGTGATTCCAGGCGTGTTCTACTGCGGAGCCCCGGCGCTGACGAAAGAGCTACGCCAGCTGGCTCAGGATTTCACGCATAAGACCACGACAAAGTTCGACTTCCACAAAGAGAACTTTTGATCCACCGTATCTCTCTTAGACACACCACTCGCTATATAGCAGACCGTACAAATACTATTATACTCTGGATGATCATCAAAAACATTGGGTCTTTAGATCCATATAGAGCACGCTCCTTAACTATTTTGTACAGTATCATTTATTTGTCCTTTTTTTTCCCCTTCTTTTTCTTGTCTACTCGTATTCATCTTTATGCTAGATTTGTTTATCCTAGATAGTCTCCTCGTTCAACGCCAAGGACTGAGTTAAGCCACCAACGTTTACTTTGGGAGGGGCTAGAGATCATCTACAGACCTTTTAGTCAGTCATAGATTTAATGTATGAGCATGAAATGGTCCACATCAATCAAGGACTGATGAGCCAATAAGACAATTTGATGGACACCACCCTTCGGGCCAAAAGGAGCAATGGAATCTGTCCTTTGAAATTTGTTAGCTTGTACTCGTTTACTGAATTGTCGTTACCACTGCTTGCTTGTGCTACATCACATCGTATGGTTAATCCCATCGACCTCGGCTAATTAATGCGCACCAGTCACGGCGTTTATAACCTCTTATACGAAAATTAGTGTTGCTTTGTTGAACACTGACATCTCGTCATATCAAATTCATCTCGAATCCACCCATAGTATTTATCTGAATCCGTCCCCACCCAATTAGCGAGCACTCCTATCCAAGTAAGTTGATTGAGTAGGCATAGGGTATTTATTCCAACGAAATCCAACCGGTTGCCATCTATGATAGAAACAGGTAGGTATCCTCCATTTTCAAACTTTGACTAAACAACCTTATTTCATTTCAAACCCGACTCAATTATTTATTTCTATTCATACCCATCCTAAATTCAATTGGAAAATACTTTAATACAGCTTAAACAAATCAAATAGGCATGAACACGCTATCCTAATATCAACAATTTGATTACTTAAATGCAGATATCAACAACAACAAAAAAAATAGTTACTTAAAAAATAGGAGAATGAAATTCTTACAGCAGTCTCATGCGGAATTTTCCCTGCATTAAGGTTGTCGGTTTTGTAACTACTTCCACACTTTTGATGGGCACTATTTAGGACCTCCGACGCAGAGAACACAAGCGCTCTACAGCGACCTGCAAATAAACGAGAGGATTTAGCACACATATTTACACAAACATATTTCATCGGGTCAACATGGTTCATCCTCAAAAATCCAACTCATCTTTATATTATCTGATTTGACAGTGATTTGACATTGGTCAACTTTTTAGGGACCGAAATTTTAATCAACAATATTTGATAATTTGGGATGAGTTCAGATAGGTTCTCTCTGTGGCTGGGTATGACAATAAAATTTAAGACAAACTAACGAGAAAAGTTCAACCAAAAACTCGACAGTAATATCCTCATCAATTATCTAACATTTATTACCATGGTATGTGCCACATTTTTTTAACTACTAATCATTATATTATACTTTTCCTGTTCTTTTTCATTAAGATAAGAACACCTAGTACGGTGAAAGTTGAATGAAAGATATTAAGAATATATATTGACCACATTGTCTCCCACTACCAGGATCCAGTCAATGGCTACCTATCAAATGGGACAAGAAAGTTAGGAATCACCGAGGAAACTGCAACTTCACAAACTGTGCATCCCAATCAGCCTTCACATCGCACATAAACACGCCCTAGAAAACCAGTAGGAGTCAAGTCTAGATGCAACATGAAACAGACACCAAAGTAGATAATGCAATTACAAATAAATTATACAGAGAAAAAAAAAAAAACAGAGCACAAATATTAGGTTATAATCTGACGTTAAGGCTACTGTTATTACTAGGCCGGTCAGATCTCTGCACATAGTTTTATTCTAATGTATCATGTAAAGAAAAGCACCTATGAATTAATTAGTTGACATGAGAAAGATTCACCAACCCCTTCAAGCACATATGTGGCTTTCAAGGTTTCGTGGTTAGCCAGCAAACCTAAATGGAACATGATTGTTCTGAACCAACAGGCCATGGTGTTGTACATGGGTCTTATAGGCACTATTCTTAATGAAATTAATGACCATTATGAGATAACAGCTTTGTTGTTGTTGTAGGCTTTTGTAAAGCAATAGAGCAGAATAGGATTAATGCATCTATAACTTTAAAAAGAAAAAGCAGTGTGATAGTTTTGGAACCACCAGCAACTATGAAAATGATTCCTCTAACAATACTAGAATTGAGTCAGATCTCCCATTTAGCACCATGTTTTTGTGGCAGACAGATCATCAATGGCAACCAATCAAAATCCTTGAAGGATATACTTAAATCTGCAAACACAAGAATTGTTGTTGATGGAATAGCATTTACACAACTCTAAAAATGGTAAAACACACACATGTCCAATTTCAGTTGCATATCATAAAAAATTCAAAGTTTCCCCACTAACCTTTAACTGCCTGATAGTGTTCCAGTAGTTGGTTTGAGCTCAAATCAGTTGACACATATGGCTTTTTGATATACCTGTTCAAGAAATTCTTTGATATGGATCGACATATTTGCCTATGAATTTTGTTGCTTTGGTTCAACCCCCAGTAGTGTTTTTGTAGTTAGTTTGGGCTCAAAATCAGTCGGCACATATGGCATTTTGATATGCCTGTTCAAGAAATACTTTGATATGGATTGGCATATTTGCCTGTGAAATTTGTCACTTTCGGGCTTCCAACAACTCCAGAATTTTTTATATTTTATCATCTGAAGGTATAATCTGAGCCCATAGATTTGGGTTTACATGAAAGTCACTCATCTCAATTCTTGCCTAGGTAGCATAAGGTGTTATTATTTGACATATATGGAAGAACACTAACTATATATTAAAATAACTAATCGTGTAGATGCATCTAGTTGTCCGAAATGCTCTTCTGATGAATAGCTGCAACTTAAAATAGAATATTCTAGCTAGCAATAAAAGATGAATATACCTAAATTGGCAAGCTCAGTTCTACCAGCCAGATTAGTTGAGCATGAAGCCTTAGAAATTGTAGTCTCGTAGTTCAATCTGCAAAGAAAAAAGACATCTAAAGGCAAATCGAAGCATACAACACACATCAAGGCAAAGAGTGTTGAGATTCTTTTCTTTAAAACGCATATTTTATTACTTTATTATGAAATCCTACAAATCATGCAATTATAAGTTTATTAAGAAATCCTACAAATCATGCAAAATTGAGTCAAAAAGACAACTTCTTACCTCTGTCAAAGAAGATGATACAGAATGCTCTACTCCCATGTATCACAACCACAGTTGCCTACTATCAGAAATAAGCATGGTTTCCTTAGATGCAGCAAGCCTCTGCAGCTTCCATAAACTTATGACTGTCACATGCAAGGGTTGTGAAATGATAATTAGTCATAAGAAAATCACTCCTACAAACTGAAGTCAGTACCAATAGACATACTCAAGTAGGTTCACATTTTTGCTCCAATTTTTCCTACGGATTCATGGCTTTCCATCCACAGCTTAGTAGTTTTCTATTGTTGCAGACTATAGTAACCATGGGTCTAAGAAGCCAATCAAGACAAGTATCAAAAAATAAAAGAAAAACTGATATACAGAACATCTATAACTAAATAGTATCGGTAGAGCCATCACCACGTGCTAAAAAAAGTTTATTCATCAACACTTACAACATTGTTGATCAGATCAGATGCCCCTAACTCACATTGCCCATATTTGGTCTATTGTGTTGATTCACTGATCTACAACTAAAAAACATCGAGTGATGCTCAGCAAATTGGAAACCGATCAAGGTGAATGAATAATAATAGAAGAGATTATATATATATATATATATATATATATATATATATATATATATATATATATATATATATATATATATATATAATTAACATCTCTAACAAGCCTTTTTTTACTGTGCTGCTTAAAGTTTCTTGAATCCCAACAACAAACTTTGCCATCATATTGCATGTATTGACACCTTTATTTAATTGATCTTCCTTTTTATTTTCTCTCATCTCTCGATACAATCTGTTGTGTAACAAAACCAACATAGACAAGATTGACGTTCTGAAAAAGAAATATTGCATCTGTTGTCTAACTAACAGATACAAAAAATTTCTTTCAACAGTTATTTCCCATCCCGTACTACTTACCAACAGACCGTGCCAAAAGGCTGATGAATGCTTAAGAACAAAGCCATCAAGCTACGAGCATTCCATGGACTCAAGGCAGACTTCTTCCGGCCCACCAAAAACTAAAAAACTGACCGACGAAGTGACTAATGGGGAACGTGTAGTGGACCAAGGAGACTACTGACCTGAGGTTCTTGGAATGGAGACCCTTGAGACATCTCGCGACCAACGGCAATCTTCTCCAAGAGAACAATAACTCGAAAATGAAAACCCTTGCCGAACTCGATGCTTGAGGAACTTCCCCATCGCTGCTTCATTCTCCGCTACAAGAAAGGGCGAGCAAAAGGACGGTGAAGGGTTTGCAAGAGAACAAGAACTCCAAAACGGAGATCCTCGCGGAAGTTGATGCTCGAGGATCTTCTCCATCGCTGCTTCATTTTCCGCTACAAGAAGGGACGAGCACAAAGACGGACGCGACAGAGTGGAGTACGGCCCGAGTTCGGTGAAGGGTTTCCAACAGAACAAGAACCCAAGAACGCAAACCTTGTGGAACTTGATGATCGACGATCCCCTCAATCGCTGCTTCGTTCTCCGCTACAAGAAGGGACGATCAAAAGGACGGGGAAGGGTTTTCAAGAGAACAAGAACTCAAGAACGGAAACCCTTGCGGAGCTTGATGCTCGAGGATCTAGTCCACCGCTGCTTTATCCTCGGCTACAAGAAGGGCCGAGCGAACTGGCGGACGCGACAGAGTGTAGGGCTGTGAAGGGTTTTCAAGAAAACAAGAATCAAGATCGCAAACCTTGTGGCAGTTGATGCTCGAGGATCTTCTCGATCGCTTGATTCGTTCTCCGCCACAAGATACGAGGGCGAGCACATAGGCGACAGACGAAACAGAGAGGCGGAGATCGGCGACGGGTCTCCGAGAGCGCAATAACTCGAGAAGCCGATCCTCTCCTAGTTCGTTTTGGCCGCGGGAATCTCGATCCTTGCATTTGAGTTCGTCACATCGGTTCGTAGGCGGTAAACCGAACAGTTCCTAATAAAATCCGGATCCAATCATATCACAGTCGATCCAGTTGCTGTTCTAGAATGGCTAAGGATTCAGATCCGACCAATCCGCAACAGTGCATCGTGGTTGTAATCAAACGGTGGACAAATGACTGCCTCGTCGACCCCCCTCAATCTTCAAAAAGAATCTCAACCGTCCACTTAAGAACATTTTCCATTTTTACAAATTATGCAAATAACATACAAAGATTACATATCTAAAATATAGTTAACGTTCAATTGTTAGGTATGAAGGAAAAAATATGGTGAAAATGAGAGCAACAATTTCCAATAATGTGGCTTCCACGAATGAAGGCTTATTACATATAGCCTTATGTCATTAGCTAAGCAGCAGATGTAAAGTTCCACAGACACAAAGGCATAAATAGAAACAGGAAAAAAAAAAAGGGAACACATGAACACAACACAACCACGAGTTCCATAATTTATAACTATAGAAAGGAACAGTATTAAGTGAAATATAAATGGTTGGAACAGCTGTTTAATCAAGCAAAACCAAGCTAATTTTCCATAGATCTAACATGAGTCGCGAAGATCTATTTGTTTTCCCAACTACGATCCAAAATGCAAGTACAATCCAAACATTAGGAGGCAAAAATCCCGTTCGTCTGAGTTGCTAAGAGCCAGTAATAAAACTTCCATACATGCTCAAATGGAAAGCTTAAAAGCTCATATTGAAAATGAATAACTAGAATTTGAACACCTATCTGCCTTATGTCTCCCTCCTAGACCGCCTGGCGCGTGGGGCTGAAGCATCATCTTTATCGTTCTCTTCTTTCTCGTCATCGTCGTTGCTTCCTGGAGCTTCAGACTCGGCAGCTCCAGAATTCCTGGTCTCGGTGGCGGTCATTGCAACTGGAGCCTGTACAATGGTGGTCTTAAAAGGTTAAGCTCAATGTTAACCTGCATACAGTGAATAAATGATGAGACCAGAGCATAAGATAACTCACCTGAGGCTTCTTTCTGCCAAAAAGAACCCTGAAGATAACAGTAGCAACCACTACTGCTACGGACACCAGGATTCCAATAGTGACGTTTGGTTGTTTCTCTGCTTTTTCAATGACATCCTGCATGGAAAGATGGATTAGATATGGTGTCACAAAAACGAGCTTCTATCAGCAAAGTTCTACTGATAACATGCAGAAGGTTGCCGACTAGATGTAATAGCAAAAGAAACTCATAAGAATGTTTGGGATGTGAACAAGAGAGAGAAGAATTGAAACTCACGATGATTTTGATCTTGTATGGTTCCAAGAAAGGGACGTCTGCTATCTTGTATAGAACATCAAAAACTTTCTTCTGCGATAAAAAATATGAAAGTCATGAATGTAAATGCCAAGCCCAAAGGGAACAAACTCAAGTCGATTAATATTACAAATAAAACTGGTAGAACAACATTACCTGAAAACCAGACAGACCATCTGAAGATTCAGCAGCAGCATCTTCAGCCTTCTGCTTTTCTTTCTCAACTTCATATTTAGGCTTCCATGTCTCCGACCTATATGACTCCGCAACCTTCTCATCACCGGTTATCAAGATATTGTCAAAAAGAATGCCATCCTGCATTGTCCAAATCTCAATACCGATAGCAGCAATTGGCTCGAAATCTGGTTTGTCAAGCTCAAAGTAATCGGGGTTGTCTATCTCTTGTGGCTTCCAGATACCCTTGTAGTTCGGGTTATCAATTAAAGGAGCATGCCATTTTCCCTTGTATTCTGGATTCCTCTTCAGTGGCCTCTTCCACTCTCCACAGCCGGGTGCTGATTCACACTTTGGGTTGTCGATTTTTGGTGCCTCCCATTCCCCATCCTCGTCTTCATCCCAATCTTCTGGTTTTGTGGCTTCAGGATCGTCAACCTCCTCAGGTTCATCATCCAACCATCCTTCCGGCTTGACAGCTTCCTCGTCTTCAATCTCCATTGGTGCATCTTCATCCCAGTCATCTGGCTTTACAGCATCAGGGTCTGGAATTTTGGCCCTCTCATCCCAGTCCTCAGGCTTTTTATCATCAGGATCAGGTATGGTCTTGGGTGGAATAAGCGCTGGCTCTAAGTCATCAGCAGAGAAGAAATTTGTTTTCTTCTTTTCTTCTCCATCAACTAAAATTCTCAGCTCATTATCAGGTTTCAGAATAGCAGTATAGACATGAGAGAGTTTGTCAGATGGGACAGATGGAGGGTACTTCAAATGATGCTCCACAAACTTCCCAGTTTTGGGATTCTTATGCTGAAGGATGAAATGCACCTTATTCGTTGACCCACACTTATCTGGTCCAAACATTATAGTATATGGAGATTCATTGTCGAATCCCTTGGGAGACCATCCGGCTCCCTGAGGACGAAGATACTTCAGATATGCGCCTCCACATTCAAGTCCATTTTGTAGTCGAACCTCAAACTGTAGAACAACAGTTCCATCCTTGAGGATGACAGGTTCATCGAGTTCCTTAACTATTGCATACTTCCTAGCCTTCTCACTCACAAGAAGCCCATAGTCTTCATGACCATCACTCTTGGAGTGTTCCCATAAACCTAATGACAGATACATAGCCATACAGAAAAATTCAGATCCACAAATAATCATTATAGAGATCAAAATCTTGATCAATATGTGAGAAGAATTTCTTGCAAAAAAATATAGCAAATATAGTGCTCAAAACAAACACCATTGTTCACTCAATATAAGGCAGTTAAAATATGTTTCCCTCACTAGTTTTCCATTTTGATTGTGTTCGTTCTATACATTCTATCTCCAATTGTATATCACTATAAACCATTTTTAATATCCATCAGAAGTTAACAGCTATCCTCAACTAATCAATGTAAAAAATTTGGCACCTCATTCCTTGATTATCCTCTACACAAGGAGGGTTGTGTCGCAGATGAAGATGACAATCAAGCAAACCAGCCTTTCAAGTGGAAGGGAGGCAATTATCAAACAAGGCCATATCACAAATTATTTTAACAACATATCAAGTAATTAATGCATTTGGAGTGAAAAAGGATTAATCAAGTAGCAATCAGAAAAGGCATAGATAGATATGCAAACTGTCTTAAAAGCCAAAACGAAAAAAATTATGCAAAGATTCAATATCAGAAATTTCAATAACAAGATACATGCAATGGTCAGACTGATAAATCTAAAACTAAAAAAAATAACACTAAAGAACTAAGAAATCTATTAATATTGTCCAAAATGGGGATCATCCCAAATTTCTGCTCACAAAGATGTAATACTTTACCAAGTTTATGGAATCATTCAAGGCCACAAAAATTTTGCATAAGATATCCAAGTCCTAAAGATAGCTAAAGAAGAATGAAACCAACAAATTGATTTTAGGATATGGCGGTGAGACTCTACCATCGAGATGAATGCTTCGACAACTATTGGTCAAATATGCCAATGTGATAGAGGATAACAGAATCATATCGATGCATCTTCCATCTAGGTTAGGCCAACATAGAACTATGGAATCCCAAAATGGAGGCATTGGCGACCAAAGACATGTAACCACACCAATAGTGCAAATAAGTGTTTGCATGTTGGTTTGGTGATGTAATGCCAAAAGCTTCACTGGCAAACAAATCGAGATTAACTCAACCAACTAAAAACAGTAAAATCAGTACATTCTACTTATTGTGGCTCAAGAAACCCTCACAAAACAACTTACTAAAAGTAAATTCTCTATGGCAAATAGTAGACCTCGTCCTTGTATAACTAACCGCCGGGGTCTTTAAGCATGAACTGAATCCCAATTACGGCCGATTACAACCCCAATCGATAAATCAGTAGCTATAAGAGTAGAGTTTACTTATAATTTAGCATGCGTATGGCATGTTGCTAATGAATTAATTATTACGTTTGTATCAACCCACACCTAAAACAAGACTGGGAGCTTTCGTCGCCATGTTTAATCCTTTGTTGCCTACGCAAAATAGTATTTTTTTTATCCTAAAACACGGTGAAAATTTAGCAACGACATACAGCATACAAGTAATATAAATATTAAGAAAAGGAGACTCCTCGAGTCCTATGTCTCTTAGGCTCCACTACTTTAGCTATCTTAATTTAAAGCCTCAAGAACAAGATCTGAGAAAAATAACCACTGATAAGATCACGAGATGGAGATTAGTTATCAGGCAAAACCAAAGATGCAATCTTTACACCACGAGCACGAGTATGCTACACGAAGAGATCACTAACAGATCCGAAGGTGATGTTATACCTTTGTAATCCTCCTTCTCGGCCACGATCCATCGCCCCTCGAACGGCTCATCGAATGATTCGTAGAACAACTGGATCAAAACCCACGAATCTTTAATTTTTTAGCTAAACAGGTAGCAAAAAGACACAAGAGCAATCAACCCGGAGCGCGAAATACCGGATCCGACGCCCAAATCTGGAGAAGAGAGGACGCGATGAGCAGCAGGAGGAGCGGCGCGGCCATCTTCCCCCCACCCATCGTGATGAGAAACAGCAGATCCTACAGGAACCCTAACGCGAGATCAAGATCCAAACGATGCCCCGCGGTGAAGATGGGCAAAGGAGAGAGCGTAAAGTGCAGTGGCGATCTTAAGGAGAATCCGATGGAGCAGATGCGTCCACGGGAACCGATCTGCGTCCTGCAATCGACTCTCTCCACGGGGCGATGAGAGAGGCGGGCCGTAAATAAAACTCGGTGGTGACTCGTTTCCGCCAATCACATGAGAGACCACGTTGCTATGACCAATAGGAACACGCCACGTCATCAGCATGTAATTATGATCGAGACAGGGTCCACCCGATAGCTGTTCTATTATTTCGGATGGTTATATATTTGATTATTATTTATAATTTGCAATAAGACAGGGTCCACCAAATATTCGTCAGTCAAATCTCGAGCTGTATGCGGTCAATAGACGAAGGTGTTAAGGATGGAAGTGCTCTGTTCCGGGCTGTAACATATGAGCAGACTCCAACATCACTGCTCTGTTCCTGATGAGGTCTGCCACAACGAGGCACAGAGAAAGGTCTGAGAAGGTGATCGAGCGTAGTCTGTAATCTCGCTTTGGGAAACAAAGCGAGGCATGTCCTCTGCAATCACCTGATGATGGCATCATGTGGTTGCACTGCTTCTGACGTGCAGCAGAAGCATAGAGCCGATCACCGAACCGGTAAAAGACACAGAGAGAGAGAGAGAGAGGGAGGGAGTGAGGGACGGTGGGTTGTCTTCTGCAAGAAAAGCTGGGCGCGGCAACAGAGGAGGCGAGATATGAATCCATCCTTTCCATGGAAAAAGCAGAGGTGCACCGGTGAGCTTTTAAAAGGAAAAGATTTCAGGGCGGTCGGCCTCTTTGAGCAGAAGCAAGTGTTGAAAGCGATGATGACACGTCCATGTGGTGCAACATTCATGCTATAAGGACAGTTCATCTTAACTCATATATCTTACGTTAGACACTGAAGTTACTCTCTCGAAATTATTATTTTTTCTGAATATAAATTACGAAGGTATAATTCTAAGCTTAATATTTACGAGCATTCGAACTTTCAATAATATATCAGATAAGATTTTGAATTCTTAATTTTTAGTACCTCGTATATCACCATCAATATATTATTATATTATATCATTATTATCGTGAGTAATTTATTTAAAAAATCTTATTTTATGACGGTTAGAAGTATTTTATTTTTTTTTAAATTACATAGGGTACCCTAAGATATATTTTTATAAGATATTAGTGTATATCTATCAAAATTTGAGTTAACCACCTTAAAAATAAATAGGATTATTATTTATATTATATTTGCGTTCTATACCAAAATATCGAGATGAATTCAATAATTACACTCATAAACGAACTACTCACTCAATATTAGAATTAATCTAAAAATATGTCAAATTCAACTTAGAAATCACTGATATTACATAAAATAGAAAAAAAAATAATAGAATTACTATATATTTTTATTATATTTGTCTATTATTGTGGGAAACAACTTTGAGCTGTGGCCTTAGGGCTGACGTGGCTCGGTTCAGGTCCGGACAACGGGGACCTCCCTGGGGCGTTCCTCGAGCCCATTGAGGCGGTCGGGTGCGGTGTCCGATCGGGACGGTGTAGCCGTCTCCTCCGGGCGGGAACTCCTCGTCTGCGCGTCCGGAGGGGTCTTTCGGTTTCGCACCTGCACAAAGGTCGGGCCGAGGCGCTCGGCCCGACCCCTCCGACGATCAAGTTAGCATATGTGGAAGGGGTTTCAGATGAAGAAGTGTTTTTGTGTGTCTCTCCCTCCCCCCTTTCTAATGAACGAAAGGGTATTTATAGGGCAGCTTACTACTTCCTGAGCTGCCCGCTTGCAGGGGCAGGCCGGTAGCGTCTGACTTTGTGTTGGCGTGACGTGAAGAATTGAGCTTTGGTAGGATGTTAATGCGCCTCGGTCGACGTTTCGGTCTGCATTAACCAGGTGCTGTTGTGTGAGACATCATTTGACGTCAGCCGAGTCTTATCATATTTACTATCCTCATCACCTATTATATTAAAATTTTAAATTTTACGGTGTAATACTCATAAATTAATTTTATTCAACTCCTTTCGGAGTCTTACCTTCG